TCAAAGCCATGAAGAAGGACTGCAGCTGGGGAGACGAGGTCATGATTCAGATCCCGAGCCCCGAGGAAAGCATCGCTACCCACACGGAGGGGTTCTTGAGTGTTTACACTTACCCCTTCACACTGGGTCCCCTCGATCCGGTAGTGATCGACTTCTGCAAAACATATGAGGTCACCCTCGGCCAGATCCATCCCTCCTTTTGGATTTTTCCGGAAAGGCCGAGGGGTTGAAATTTACCCTCAATCATCTTATTCGGCTGTATCGGCCCCAGCTATTTCGAGGGCTCATAAAGCTCCAACGTCGAACAAAGAAGGCCTTCTTTGCTAGAAACCATGAAGAAAAAGATCGAGGCTGGATGAGCCGGTTCATCAGAGTAAGGACTTCGGATGTCATCCCCAGGGACCAAATGTCGTTCCCGAGGAGTTGGAACTTTAATCGTAAGTGGAGTTTCTTAACAAAAACTTCTTCACATTCTGCTTCTGTATTCCTTAATATTTTTATCTTTTTTGCAGTTGTTGCTTGGACGCCTCACACTGTCCCTGGCCTCGAGGAATGGGTCCGAAAGTTAGTTGCCACCTCCTCGTACGATGAGCGCAAATGGCGCAATTTATCGAGGGGTAAATGGGAGGCCAAGCATCACGGTAAATTTTCTTCCCAAACTTTGATACCTTTCTTTTACTAGTGATGTCATCTCATTCATGTTTATTTGTGCAGGCATCGGAGATATCTTTGAAATGAGGCCAGCCCCGCCTGGGACCGAGTCCCCGATTCCGAAATTGGGGAAAGACAAAAGAAAGAGGGCTTCGAAGCCCGAAGATACCCAGGATAAATCTGATTGTATCCAGAGTAGGCGTCGAGAAAAGTTAGGATCTCGTGGCCGGCCATGGAATCGATCATACGATCAATGTTGAGCAGTGGGAAAGAGTCTTTTGGGCATGCTTTATTCATGTCCTTATAGTCTACACACATTCTAAGTTTATTTCCTTTTTTAGGAACTACTACTACATTGGCTAATCATTCGGGGTACTTTACCTCCCGAGTAGACCCTATTTTAAGAAGTTTGGTTACCTCGTCCTTTATGAACGCATGTTTCACCTCGGACTGGGGCCTCCTTTTTTGCTTTACCGGTTTGAACCTGGGGTCGATGCTTAGCCGATATGTGGTGATTTCCGGTGGAATACCTGTCATATCTAATTGGGACCAAGCAAAGAAATCCATATTATCAATAAGAAATTGAATGAGTTTTTTCCTGAGTTCGGGGGTTAATCCCGTCCCCAGGTATACCTTTCTCTCGGGCATGTATTCGATCAATATGACCTGCTCCACCTCCCCGACAGTTGACTTGGTTGCATCGGACTCTTCTGGAACGACGAAGGTTCGAGGAGTAAGGAAATCCTCTTCTTCGTCCTCGATTACCTATTGCTCCGATTCCGTCAAGGTTGGGGACGGTGATTGCTATTTAGCCGCCTGATTATATTTGGTGCTCGATTTCTCCGAGGTCGAAGGATCTGGTATTGGCACCACCTCCTCGACTGCAAACATCTCCTTTACAGCATGTTATTCCCCGTAAACTGTTTTCACTCCCTCCTCTGTTGGGAATTTCATCATCTGGTGAAGAGTTGAAGGCACTGCCCGCATGTTGTGTATTCATGGTCTCCCGAGGAGTGCATTATACCTCATGTCCCCTTCGATGACATGGAATTTTGTGTCTTGTATGGTTCCGGCTACGTTTACTTGTAGGATTATCTCCCATTTTGTTGTTTCGCTTGCCATATTGAAGCCATTAAGGACCCGGGACGCATGTACAATCTGATCTTGTAGGCCGAGTTGCTCCACGACCCTCGATCTAATTATGTTTGCCGAGCTACCTAGATCCACTAGAACACGTTTAACTTAAATTTTATTTAAAAGAATAGAGATTACCTGAGCGTCATTGTGCGGTTGGGATATGCCTTGCGCTTCCTCGTCACAAAATGATAAGACGTCCTTGGGCACATAGCTCCGAGTCCGTTTTTCTCTGATGATCGATACCTTGGTGCGTTTGAACACAGGTCCTTGTGGGACGTCGACACCGCCAACGATCAAGTGGATTACATGTTGTGGTTCTTCCTGCTCATTTTTTCTTGCATCTCTCTCCCTGAAGTGTTTCTTGGCTCGATCACTTAGAAATTCTCGAAGATGACCATCGTTGAACAACCGAGCCACTTCTTCCCTTAGCTGTCTGCAATCTTCCGTTCTATGACCATGTGTGCCATGATACTTGCACATCAGGTTTGGGTTCCTTTGAGAAGGATCGGTTTGTATAGGCCTGTGCCACTTGGTGTCTTTGATTCTTCCAATAGCTGACATAATCCCCGACGCATCTATGCTGAAGTTATACTCCAACAGTCGAGGTGCCTCTGCGGGGTCGGTATGCTTATCGAACCTGCTCTTATTCATAAGTCCCCGAGAGTTCTAACCTCGATCATTTCTTCGATCATTTCGAGGGGCGTTACGACCCGAGCCGTTGTTTCTCCGATCAACGTATGGCTGATATCGTTCCTTGTCTAATCTTGATTCCCTGTCCGTATCCCTCGGGGTTTCGGCTGCAAATCTGTTAGGATGAACTGAACCCGAGGAGTCTCCCAACTAGTCGTCCTCGACCCTGATTTTTGATTGATAATGGTTGTGCACATCTGACCACGTCACAGCTGGATACTCGATTAGATTTTGCTTTTACTGTCGAGACGTAATCGAGCTCCTTTCATTCAAACCCTGCATAAAAGCTTGTACTGCCCAGTCATCTGAGACTGGTGGTAACTTCATTCGCTCCATCTAGAACCTGGACACGAACTCCCTCAACATCTCGTCGTTCCTTTGTTTTATCTTGAAGACGCCTGATTTTCTCGTGGCCACCTTTATGGCCCCGGCGTGTGCTTTCACGAAGGCGTCTGCTAACATAGCAAATGAATCAATAGAGTTATGAGGTAAGTTGTGATACCAAATCATAGCTCTTTTCGACAATGTTTCTCCAAACTTTTTCAACAAGACTGATTCGATCTCATCGTCATTCAAGTCATTTCCTTTGATCCCGCAGGTGTATGAAGTAATGTGCTCGTTAGGGTCGGTGGTCCCATTATATTTGGTTATATCGGGCATGCGAAACTTTTTAGGAATAGGCATTGGAGCCGCGCTCTGAGGGAATGGTTTTTTTATGAACTTTTTGGCATCCAATCCTTTCAAAACTGGAGGTGCCCCCGGTATTTGGTCAACATGGGAATTATAAGTTTTCACCTTCTTGTCATTGTCTTCAATCTTCTTTTCTCCGGACTCGATCCTCTTGGTGAGCTCTTCGAGCATCCTCATATAGGTGGGGTCAGTCCCCGAGTCATTTCCATTCGACCTCTCTGGTGCTGGTTCAGCACGTCGAGTGTTTTCATGTTCAACTATACTCAGAGTCTTATTTTGACTTTGAAGTTTAAATGGCGATCTGTTGAGCTTGCAGCATCTCGAATATTACTTGGAGGCTAATTCCCCCATCACCCACTCCGTGTGTTCCTTGGCCACTAGATCGGGCTTCCCTGTGTACACTCCATCCGGGGTCTGCGCCTAAATCCGCGTTTAGAGCAATGTGTGAACTAACATCAACTGGTTTCATATTTGGCACTTCCCTAGGGTTTATTGGTAGTACACCGACCCCTATGTTGTTGTTTTCTCCAAGACCTTTGTTGTCATGAACGGGTGCGTTTTGTGACCAGACATGTTTCAGCCTGAGAATCAAAAAATCTTGACAAGAAAAAGTGTAAAAATAACGTGTGTAATGAGAATCAGTAATGAAATAATCACTATTATCTTTAGCTCCACGGTGGGCGCCAAACTGTTTACCTCGAAAATATGAGTAACAATTAAATTTGATTTGTGGTTTTAAAGATATGTGATTTAGTTCAATACCAATTAATAATCAAGAAATATGAAGTAGAAATGAAAGAAATGAGTGAATCAAACCGATGTTACTCAGCAGTGGTGACTCGAGTTTAGCGACCTCGAGAAAAACTAAGAGCAATAAAGTAAGAACTATAAATGTAAAGGACAATTCTGATGAATAGTAAGAGAGAAAAATAGGATAGTATATTCTTGCCAACGATTAGATGGTGTTACAAATGATTGGGGTCCCCTTTATATCATAGGGGAACCCTAAATAAGGTACATTTCTATTTTACAGTAAGGAATATTATTGGTACAGCTGTCTAACCGCCTAGTACGGAATCATACAATCCTATTCCGGAATTTGCGCCATGATCTTGGGGACATGGCAGGAATCTAGCTCATTCTGTTACAAATCCATAACAGTACAATTTCGGGGTCGAGCATACTTAACTTCGATATTCCTCGAACTCCTATCTTCGGGCATTGCATTCCGTCCTTAAGCTCGAGTCTAGTCTGTCGACCTCAAACTCGAGCTTACTTGAACTCGGACCTAAGACGATCCCTCGAGCTTGGGAAATCGGGCGTGCCTGATTTCGACCGTATACATTTAGTTTTATTGACAAGAAGCAGTCATGTCGAAACTCTTTCTCTTCAAATATATAATAATATTGAACTAGAGAATCTCGAGTTCGAGATTGGCAATAAATTATCTTTGTTAGTCAGCACTTTAACTCTAGAATGAGATTTCCGGCAAATTCAAACTAATGGAATCTCAAAATAAACATAAAAATAAAAAATTAAAATAAAAAAGACACATTATGAAGTCTATTGACTTCGAGTCAAAAAGGTTAAAACATTCTATAATACGACCAACTTTATCTCTAAAACTTGAACTCGAACATGTCGTTGAACGGCAGTGTTTTCTTACATTTTGAATGATCGCCAAAAAAAAAAAAAAAGGAAAAAGAAAAAAAAGGAGATTTAGAAGGATTAAATGCGGAAGGGTGCAGGTTCAGCCAACTGTAGGGACACACGTAATCCATGTTACCCCTGCTTTTCGTGCTCCAACGCTTGAACCCCGTCGTAAAAAATTGACACTGATTCCCTGCTCCTTCAACTTCCCTTACTTATTATGGTCCGTCACGTGATTCACTTCTTCCCACATTTTTCAAAAAACACGCTACTAACGGGAACAAATAGCCCTCGACAAAACGAAGCAAATTTACACCTAGTCCACACGGAAAGTACACTAGGGTTGCTCACATTCAATTGCTACCATCCCTCTTCCTCTCCCTCTCCCTCTCCCTCTCCCTCTCCCCTGAAAGTAGATAACGCAAATACCAACAATTTCGTATAAGATAATTTAAAGCTAAACTACCTTCCAAATAATACCTTCAAATTAATTTCATTTTCATATCCGCCGTGCCACCGCCGCGTCCGAGCAATCGCGAGTTCACCGGGTAAAGCGCCGACAAAAGACACGGTAGAGTGGAACCACACGAGAAAAACTTACTCTCCGACCGCCGTGGATGGGCCAATCAGCTTCCACCACTACTGCAGTTCAAAATCACATCCATCATTCAAGGTCAAAATCTAGATCTACCGGCGTTATCTCGCCGATGAAGGAAAATGAGGATTCTGATGATGTTATCGACGTGTTCGAGGTTGGAGAGTTTGATTATTCATCTAATATTCCGGATGAGTGCGTGGCTTCTATCTTCCAGTCTCTTAGCTCGGGTGACCGTAAACGCTGCTCCCTCGTCTGCCGCCGTTGGTTCCGGATCGAAGGTCAAAGCCGTCACCGTTTATCGCTCAACGCGCAATCGGACCTTGCTTCTGTGATTCCGTCCATTTTCTCTAGGTTTGATTCGGTTACGAAGCTCGCTTTGAAATGCGACCGTAGATCTACGAGTATCGGAGACGATGCATTGGTCCTCATCTCCCTGCGGTGCCGTAACCTCACACGTTTGAAGCTTCGAACATGCCGGGAGATTACTGACGCCGGAATTGAAGCTTTTGCGAAGAATTGCAAGGGTTTGAAAAAGCTGTCTTGTGGATCGTGTTCCTTCGGTGCCAAAGGCATGAATGCCGTGTTGGATAACTGCTCCTCCCTTGAAGAGTTATCAGTGAAACGGCTCCATGGCATTACAGATGGCGCAGCGGCAGAGCCAATCGGTCCTGGTATTGCCGCAGCGTCTCTCAGAGTTATATGCTTAAAGGAGCTCTATAATGGACAGTGTTTTGGACCGTTGATTATAGGATCGAAGAATTTGCGGACGTTGAAGCTCTTCCGATGCTCTGGAGATTGGGATAGGCTTCTGGAAGTGATAGCTGATCAGGTATGTGAAGTGGTTGAAGTTCATCTTGAGAGGCTTCAGGTTAGTGACATTGGACTTGCTGCTCTCTCTAAATGTTCGAATCTCGAAATTTTGCACCTTGTTAAAACACCAGAATGCACGAATTTCGGCTTAGTGGCTGTTGCTGAACATTGTAAGCTTCTCCGGAAGCTCCATATTGATGGATGGAAGACTAACCGGATAAGTGATGAAGGGTTAATTTCTGTTGCTAAACATTGTCCCAATTTGCAAGAATTGGTTTTGATTGGTGTGAATCCAACGCGTGCTAGTTTGGAGAAATTGGCTGCAAACTGTCTCAACTTAGAGAGATTAGCTCTATGTGGGAGTGAGACTGTTGGGGATCCCGAGCTTTCGTGCATAGCCTCAAAGTGTATTGCATTGAGAAAACTATGTATAAAAAGTTGCCCTGTATCCGACCAAGGTATGGAAGCGCTGGCTAGCGGATGTCCAAATTTGGTAAAAGTGAAGGTTAAGAAGTGTAGATTGGTGACTTCTGAGGCCGCAGATTGGTTGAGGACCACTCGAGGTTCTCTTGCTGTGAACTTGGATGCAAATGAACCTGAAATTCCTGATGCAAGCGCCAGTGATAGTGTTGCGAATGAGGTTGGCCAGGAAAATAGGCAGATGGCTAGCCAAGTAAGCGGTAGTGCTAATATTGCATTAAGCAATACTGGAAGGTCAAATTCCTTTAAGGCAAGGTTAGGACTCATAACGGGACGGAATTTGATGGCTTGCACATTTAGAAGGTGGTCAAGCTTTGGTGGCAGTTTCAGTTCCAGAAATAATTAGAGAAGGCATTGACTGATTTTCAATTAGAGAAACCAGCATTGATGTGTTCAATGTATGTATTCTGCTGTTGTAGTTATTTGAGTTTTTTAAAACTTTATATATTGTGTGCTCGACAACGCATTAACAGATTAAGCCTTCATGATTGAAAGTCACCCTTGAGATTCTATCTTTTGTGCTTATGTACAACATTATTGATGCTTCTTTTTTCACAATGAGGTAGCAGCCGAGAAGTTGATAGTGAGATTTCGATTCAACTTATAGGTCCTCTGATATATCTCGAGGATGAGTCCAATGATTTGTATTTATTATAAACTGTCTTGGGGGCTGGGTAATACCTGGGATGGCTACTTATGATTCTATGCAATTTTTGCAACTAGATGTCCATATCTAACTTGAATCAAACCCACACTCTAAAGAGAATAATGTAAAGGAAGAAGAAAGAAAGTTCTCAAAACTTGTTAAAGCCCTGTATAAAGTATCATTTCCATATATATCTTTATATTGCTTTCTACGTGCCCGTGTGACTTGTCATGGCAAGGCACAACACTGTGATAATAAGAGTATATAAGAGTACAGACCAACTCTTGTATCTTTTGTTACTGAAATTGTGTAAAAATTACTATGTGATCCTGTTTCTGCTCTTAAATATGTTCCAGTTTCTTTACGCCTTGTAGTATTTAGATATGCTTAGTCATGTATCTTGAAAATGCACAAGCATGGAATAGATAAATGTCCCTCCATGCTTGGAAATAAAGTACAGTTAGATGCTACTATAATTTAAAGATGTTTTTTGAGGCTAGGAATCAATCTCCATATAATAACTAATTACAGTAATGTCTTTGTATACTCATATCTTCTTTTGGGTGACGAAGCACAGTTCTGGGCTGCCGAGCTACGTGATTCTGCATAACCACAAGAATATAGTGGTAATTGAATTCAGAGTTTGGCAGAAAAGAATATGTTGAGTTTGCCATGGAATTGTGTTGACTTAATAAATTCTGTTAGATATTATTTTGGGATATCATGTAATTGGTATATGGTAATCCATCTAGGCCTCTATAGCTGTATGTATAATTATATATCTTTCCCAGGGATGAAATCTTGTATGAGGATGGAGATAAAGATATGTGGTGTGTGTCATTATCCATAAAAAGTTCATTTGCCTTTCCAACGGTCTGAAAAACTGGTGAATCTATTAGTCACCACTGGAGGTGGGGATAAGCTCCAATCACATTGTTGCTGGAATCTTTTATTTATTCATTCAGCAAGGTGCAACTTAATGAATGGACTTGAACTTAATTAGAACCAAGAGAACCATACATCACTATGGAGTCTCAGTTACTTGAAGATGCATTTAATTTTTATCTTGATTGGTGCTTATTGTATTGATATTTCTGTTTGTGTATAAATGGATCTAAAAGAGACCATTAAAACACAACTTCTAACAGATTAATTTAAGTCGTTTTAAAGTATAATCAATTTTATTTCTTCTTTTCTGTGTATTCAGCCGTTCTTTATGAAATCTGTAATTTTGTTAAGTTGGGCTACTCAAGGTAATGAAATGGTAAGCCCATTGCTTAATGTTTGTTACCATGTTCTTGCTTAGTAGCCCAATACACCATTGAACGATTCACATTTGTTAAAGAAATTAAATGTGGAGAAGGTGACTGTGCTTCTCTGCTACGGGTTCATAGACTTATGTAGTCACACATTGAAGCTTTATGTGAGAAAATTGGGCTTAATTGTAGCTAACATCTTATAAGGACTATACATAATGGAAGATGTAAAAAGTTGCCAGAGGAAAGCATTGAGAAATGCTTAAAGAAATTCAATTGATTAAAGATTAGTATTAGAACCCGCGCGCGATGTGCGAGCGATAAAAAGAATATTAGTCACGTCAAATTGTAATCTAGCTTTTAAACACATTAGATCATACATATTGCTTTAACAAAATAACTTAGTGTCTCAATGCAATGAACTCAATAACAAAATTGAAACTAAAAAAACGAATCATATAGTTATCGAGTAACTATTTTATTTCTTATTTTTCACTATTACTGTAATAACCCAATCGGTCGTTTAGTGTATTGGAGCCCCGTTTCCCTTTGGAAGCTTTCCGTGTGTGTATCATTGGTTATGCGAATTGCAGGGATGTTTGGTTTGGTGCCGGGGAGGTTTTGGATTGATTTGGAATGCTTGATTCTTAGTTTGGAGGCTTATGTTGGAAGTGTTGACCGAGTTTTGACTTTTATGAAGACGACCCCGCTACCTTGTTTTGATGGTTCCAATAGGTTCGTATGGTCACTTTGAACTTAGGCCTGTGTTCGGAATTCGAATTCAGAGGTTCCTGGGTTGATTTGGCTTTTTTGCCGAAAGTGGGGAATTTGAAGGTTTAGAATTTTCCTAAGTTTGACCATGGATTGACTTTATGACTATCAGGTTCAGATTTTGGTTTCCGAACTTGGAATAGTTTTGTTTTATCATTTGGATCTTGTGTGCAAATTTTGGTGTCATTCCGAGTTGGTTTGGTAGGTATCAGGCGCTTGGTTGTGATTTTAGAAGTTATTGAGTTTCAATACGATTTTTATGCATTTTGGTGTTTGATTTGTGGTTCTGGATGTTATTTTGGTGTTTTAAGCTCGGGAGCGAGTTCGTATGAAGTTTCTAGACTTGCGTGGATATTTGGTGTGGAGCCTCGGGGCTCGGGTGAGTTTCAGACTTGTTTTAGAGTGATTTGAGTGAGTTTCAGATTTGCTAGTTTTGGGCTAATGATGCAGGTCTCGTAAATGCGAGAAACTGTTTGCATTTGCGGACCTTGCATTTGCGAGGTTGTTTGGTGCTGGGGGTGTTCACTTTTGCGAACTTCTTATCGCATTTGCAATGGGGCTACTGGCAGGGGAGACCGCAATTGCGATCGAGCGTCGCTTTTGTTAAGGGGTCTGTCTTCGCATTTGCGACATCTTCTGGGGCTGACAGGGTTCGCTTTTGCGATCCATGTGTCGCATTTGTGGAGGTCACAAATGCGAACCTCTAGTCACAAATGCGACATCTGCAGCTGGTTTAAAAAATGAGATTTTGGGACTTAGTCCCATTTTATCACATTTGAACCCTAAATGAAAGGAATTTTCACATCTAGCTATTGGGTATGTGTTTTTGACTCAATTTCTATATTTTATCTTGATTTCTTATGATTTTTAACATCTAATCCATGATATTTGAAGAGAAATTTCAGGGATTTTTTATTATGTTTTGAAATATGAAAAAATTTGATATTTGGGAGTCGATTGGACTCAGATTTGAAAACGAAACACATATTTGGACTCGTGGAGTTATGGGTAGTCGAGATCTACCCTTCGACTTGGATTTTGATCAGGCGAGCCCGGGGTTGACTTTTGGGGGAATTGTGTAAAGATCTTAACTTTGTTAATCGAAATTGGTTTCTGTTGCATTTCTTGATATTATTAAGTTGTTTTTGGCTAGATTTGAGTTAAGCGGAGGTGAATTTTAAAGGAAAGACACTTTTAGATTATTGATTGAGGGCTTTTGGGGTAAGTATCTTGCCTAACCTTGTGTAGGGGGAATACCCCTTAGGATTTGGCTTAATTGCTTATTTGTGTTATGTATAGATGATGTGTACACGAGGTGACGAGTGTGTACACGAATGTATGTGTTCCTTATGACCGGATTTGAATCGAGGTTGCTTTTATTGCCTTTCTTTGTTTGAGAGGTCATTGTACTACGTGTTTTTCACTTTGGATAATTACTTGAGTCTATGTTCCATGCTAGAGATCATGTTTTAGGATCATATTTCCTAAATTGGCCAAGTTGGGCATTTGTTAGATTATTACTGATTTGAGTTAGATTTCACGCTTATATGTTGAACACTCATCCGTATTTTCTTATTAAATTGTCTTTGTGCACTGCGTTGGCATATTGTGAATTTATGTCTTGGTGACAATTGTTGTCATGTTATGTTGTTATGATTGTGGCACGTGTGGACTTGTTGGGCAGATTATTCGGTGTTGCACGGGGTTTATGTCGTGCTATTGTTATTATCGATATTGCACATGTGGCGAGACAAGACGGGCTATATCGTGTTTGCATATGTGGTGAGACAAGGTGGGATGATTTGTTAATACGCTTGTGGCGAGATAAGGCGCGCATTTACTTTACTGTTGCGCATACAGTTAGATAAAAGTGGCAATGTGGGAATGACATGTGATGGCCTGTGGGCGTTTTTAATGTTGATGTGTGTGTGATAGTGAAAAAGGGTATTCTTGTTTGTGCTTATGAATCCTCTATGTGTGTTATGCATTTTTACATGAATTGTTGCGTTGTTTCTAATGTGCTAACATGTGTCTCTATTATTACTTGATGGTTTGGTTGCCAAGATGGATTTACCTATGTGAAGTTATTAACATGCATTACTAATTTGCTTCCTGAAATGTTCTCTTGAACGTGTTATTTGACAATTGATACGGAATCAGATTATTATGTGGCGCGAGGTCTTTGCTGTACGGATGTGACTTATGATGTGGCACAAGGTCTTTTCCATGCGAGGGCAATTGATAATGTGGGCACGAGGTGCCATATGTGTGCGACCTGACTCGTTGTTGAAGTTGAGCCCTTACTTGTATTAAAGTATTATCACTTATTCTGATGAGATTTACAGTTACTGCCTTTTGCTATTCTTCCTGTTGCTAGTCTTTGATATTTTTGCATAGGTTAATTGACTAGTGAGTGTCTTGACTTGAACCTCGTCACTACTCCACCGAGGTTAGTTTTTATACAAATTGGGTATCGACTGTGGTGTACTCATATTATGCTTTTTCACATTCTTTATGCAGATCCAGGTACCTCAGATCGCACGGGTCATTAGAGAGTGGTGCCGAGTTGTTGGAGACTTCAAAGAATACCTGTTGTTCCGCTCGTAGGCCTCAGAGTTACCATTCTAGTTCTTTTCTATTGTTTATATCTTCCAAAACAGTGATGCACATTTGAGACTTATTGTGTATTCCTTATAGAGCTAATGACTCAGTATTATCGGATTTTTAGAAGTTGCTTATTGTATTCGCGTTTGACAATTTTATTATATTTTGCAGTTTTTATTAAATTCTGAAGTTGTTATATTCTGATTGGTATTGTGATCTGATATGCTTACCTAGTATTAGGAACTAGGTGCCATCACGACCCCTATGGTAGGATTTTGGGTCGTGACAAGCTAGTACCCGAGCTCAAGGTTCATAGGTTCTACGAGTCATAAGCAAGTTTAGTAGTATCTTGCGGATAGGTACGGAGATGTCTGTACCTATCTTCGAGAGGCTACAAAACTATTAGGAAATTTCACCTCATTCGTTCCTTATCATGCGAATTTATTAATTTCGGAGTTTGAGCCTTTGTCCTGTTATTCCCTCACAGATGGTGAGGACACGAGCTTCAGTTACTGATGATGCTGCCCCCAAGGATGGTATTGCTAGGGGCCGGGCAGAGGCAGAGGCAGAGGAAGAGGCCGAGGAGGGGCACGTGCTACAGCTAGAGTACGTGATAGAGCAGCAGTTGAGAAGCCACCAATAGCTCCAGTTGGGGAGCAGGCACCCGAGGCGCCTGTTGCTACCCCTGGACTTCAGGAGACTTTACCACACTTTCCGAGCATGTTTGGTACCTTGGCTTAGGCAAGACTTAACCTAGTTGCACCATCTATTTCTCATGCTAGGGGAGGAGCTCAAACTCTCGCTGCCCGTACTCTAGAGCAGTGGTGTTATGGCGGTGCGACCCGTGATTGCGGTTCAGCCCGAGGTTAGGCCAGTGGTGCCAGAGAAGGAGCAGAAGAGGTTACAGTGATTCAAGAAGTATCGTCCTCCTACTTTCAGTGGCGCAACTTCTGAGGATGCACAAGGTTTTTCAGACTAGTGTCACCATATTCTGCGCACTATAGGCATAATGGAGTTGAGCAGGGTCGACCTTACTACTTTCCAACTGATAGAGCCGGCATATAGATGATGGCAGACTTTTGAGGAGAGTAGGCTAGCTGGCGCAACGGCACTTACTTAAGTTCAGTTCACTGATCTATTTTTGAGGGAGTTCCTTCCACAAACCCTCAAGATGCGTTGCACACCGAGTCCGAGAAGTTACACCAGGGGACTATGACTGTGTCCGAGTATGCTATGATGCTATGAGATTTACTGAATTATCTCGTCATGCACCTGATTTGGTTTCCACTATTAGAGAGAATCCGTAGATTTATTGAGCGACTAAGTTATGGTGTCAGATTTGGGATGGCATGTGAGTTGGAGACTGATACT